GCCCGGGTTCAATCCTCAGCACCACATACAAACAAAGATGTTGTGTTTATTAAAATTCTCTCTCTCTCTCTTAAAAGAAAAAAAAAAAGGAATGGGGAATGAATTTGTTCTTTATCATAATATAAAAAACACTTTCTCCAACCTTGCTGAGGAAACTAAAAACTGAGATTTATAAACTTGAAACAAATGTCACATCATATCAAGGACAAGAGCCAGTTCTAACTTGGACTACATAGATTCCTTGACCTTTTTTTTTTTTTTTTTTTATACCAGAGATTGAATCCAGGAGTACTTAACCACTGAGCCACTTCCCCAGAACTTTTTATTTTGAGACAAGTTCTCACTAAGTTGCTTAGGGCCTCACCAAGTTACCAAGGCTGGTTCTACACTTGACATCCTCCTGCTTCAGCCTCCTGGGTTGCTGGGATTAGAGGCCTGTAGCATCATGCTTTGAGATTCCCTGACCAGTCTGAAGATGGGAACTCAGGATTTCCTAGCTATTTACAGTTCTCACAATTATTACAAGTTTTAATTGTTCTCTCTCTCTCTCTTTTGGCAGTACTGAAGATTGGATGCAGTAGTATATTCTACCTCTTAGCTATATTTCGACCTTATTTTGTGTGTGTGTGGTGCTAGAGATTGAACCCAGGGCCTTGTGCATGCAAGGCAAGCACTCTTCCAACAGAGCTATATCCCCAGCCCCCAACCCTTTTTATTTTACTTTATTTTTGAAACTCGTTCTGGCTCAGTTGCAAGATTGGACTCTAACTTATTATTAGAGTGTTTTTCTGATTCTTTGAGACAGCACTAGTGCTTCATTTTTATTATTAAAACTACCTTTTGAGCTGGGTGTGATGGCACATGCTTGTAATCCCAGCAATTTGAGAGGCCTGAGGCAAGGGGATTACAAATTCAAGGCCAACCTCAGCAACTTGGTGGGACCCTGTCTCAAAATAAAATATAAATAAAGGGCTGGGTCCATGTTTTGTAACTTACAATTCTGATGTACTCACCACATATGCAAAAGATGTATTTAATGCTAATCACATCAGCACTAATTAAATATTTAGGATTTTAGAGAAAGTGAAAAAGTAGGGTTGAATTAAGATTTTATTCATTAAAGTATTTTTGAACATTCACGCCAAAGATGGTTAAATCCAACTATTTTTTTAGGATTTTACCTTGGATCCTTCAATATATAAGATCATTTTAAAAATCTTCCCCTCTTCATCACCATTGTCCTACTCAAAATCAGCATTATTGCTATCATCATGCTAACATTTATTAGAGGTTTATTCTATACTACATTATACACTGTATATGCAAAATTTCACTTGCTCCTTACAAATGCCCAATGAGGTAGGTACTTCTATCTCTATTCAGCCTTAAGCTTAGAAAGCTAAGTAGCTTAACCAATATCACACAATTAGTAGGTGCCACATCCTAGATTTGTAACCAGGATAACTCAATTGTAAATTTTCATTCCTGATTCCTGCCCTTTGGTTAAACTCACTTAAATCACCTGAATTTGCTATCAGCTGACTTAAAAAAAAAATTTGTCTTCTGTTCCCTCCTCACAATGCCTAATAATGAACCTAAGACTCTGGAATGCTAGCCAAGTTACAACCCTAGCCCATAAATTGACTTTAATCACAATTTATATTGGGGTTATGGTCTTCTCCTCCACCAACAAATATGGGATAAAGTGCACGCAAGAAATAGGGAGCCAGGAGCTGGTGTTGTGGTTCAGTGGTAGAGCGTTTGCCTCCCATGTTTGAGGCACTGGGTTTGATTCTCAGCACTGCATATAAATCAATGAACAAAATAAAGGCCCATCAACATCTAAAAATATACTTAGAAATAGGGAGACCCCAGCCAGTGGTGCATGCCTGAAAATCCAGCAATTTGGGAGATTGAGGCAGGAGGATGGAGAGTACACACCCAGCCTCAGCAACTTAGTGAGGCCCTGAGCAACTCAGTGAGACCCTGTCTCTAAAAAAAAAAAAAAAAAAAAAAAAAGGGCTGGGCATGTGGCTCAGTGGTTAAGCACCCCTGGGTTCAATCCCTGGTACCAAATTAAAAAAAAAGAGAGAGAGAGAGAGACAAAATATAAATAACTAAGAAGTTAACAATTTTTTTTTTTTAAACAAACAACCCATGATTAGCAGTTGACAGTGAAGGAATACTTGGAGTTTGTTCAGCAAAAATGTGGTAGAAGTAGCCAGGCTTAAGGGCCCACACCTGTAATCCCAGCTATTCAGGAGGTTGAGGCAAGAGGATCCCAAGTTAGAGACCAGTCTGGGCAATACAGTGATACTCTATTGCAAAATAGAAAAGGTTAGAGATATAACCTTCAGTGGTACAGCACCCTGGATTATGTCCTCAGTACTTTAAAAAAAAAAAAAAAAAGCAGTGAAACTACAATATTCTTCAGTAGGTAAAGTGGTGGAGTTGGGGTGGTAAAGCGCTTGCCTAGCTTGTACAAGGCCCTGGGTTCCCCCGGCCTATAAATAAATAAATGAATAGGAAAGAGCACTCCCTGGACAGATTGACTGACTCTTCAAACACAGAAAGTATTAACATGCCCATCACTATTCTTTGTATTTATCGAAAGAAAAAATGTGTCACATCTAAACACCTAGACAGCACATGGCAATGCTAGGTGATGGGAGCAAGCCGGGATAGTCCTCTGTGGCTAGGCCTGAGGGCTTGAGAGGAAAGGGAGGCTAGAGGGACTGGGGCCACACGTGTATGTACATTTACTTAGGTTTTGTTCAGTTCCAAGGAGTTTTATTATTTTTATTTTTTGTTGTGCTGGGGATTGAACCCTGGCCTTGCACATGCTCAGCCAGCGCTCTGGAGCCACATCCCCAGCCTGCCAAAGGGTTTCAGAGCTTTGGAAAGCTTTAAGAACTCTGGAGTTGAATTTGGGTCATTTCTTCTGTCCCTGAGCGGTTGTGTTGGCTGTTGTACGACCCTGTGTCACCCTCCTTCTGTTTCGTTTTCCTATCTGCAAAAAGGGAATCATTCTTGTTCCCCTGGGTTTTCTCCTAGTCATCAAAAATGAATGGGCTAGGCCACAGAACACAAACACGGGGTGAATCTGTAGTTTTAGAAGATAAACGCCTCAGTGGTGGGGTGGGGCGTTTTCGGGAGCAAGCCCGGGGAAACTTGTAAAGGACACGTTCAGATCCATTCATGAGGGGAGCGGTAACCGCTCCTCATTTTCCCTTTAAAAGGCAGGAACTTGAAGAAAAAAAAAAAATGAAAACGGGGTGCAGTCAGCTCGCAGCGGCTCCGGCCCCGCCAACTCGGCGGCTGGCTTCCACGGAACGTGACTGGGCTCCTTCCCCACGTCCTCCTCAACTCTCCGTGAAGTTTCCGAGGACAAAGGACGAGAGTGGGCTGGGCAACTCCCCGGGTGATTTCCATGGGGCGCGGGGACGGCGGGGCGAGTCCCTCGAGGCGGGCCCGCGATGGCCGGGACCGCCTGCCGGCTCACAACAGGCGACGGCCAGGTGACTACAACGTGCGGACCCCCTGAGACCCCGCGCCCCTCCCACCCTCGCTCCAGACCCGGAATTTTCCTCCCTCTCCCGCCCGCGCCGAGGGGCTGAGGCAGCAGCTGGCACCACAATACTAATATTTGTGTCGTGATTTCCTCCTCCCCGGGCACTGTGACACACGCGTCATTTCTCAGGAACGGGGGCCCGCTGGCACCTTTCTGCGTTTTCTAAAACGGGAATCCGGGGGCTGACCTTGGAGCCCGCTCGAACTACCCAGGTCGGCTGCCCCCACCCCGACGCAGCCGAGTTCTCCCCCAGTTTTGTTCCAGGCGGTGACTCCTCCACTCCCTCCGTGAAACCGCCGTGACTCACGGCTGACAGAGCTGTCGCCCCCCACGCGCCCCCCAACACGCAAACCCCCGGGATCCAGCCCCGGCCCGCAGCGCGTCGTCAACCCGCCCAGGCAGACTTGGAGGTCTCGAGTCTGAGTCACACAGAAAGACCACCCTCGTCGGCGTCCCCACACACAGTCCCTCACACCCCGGCGCGCCGGCCTCCCCGCCTGACACACCAACGCCCGTGGTCTCCGCGCAACTTGTTATGCTCCAGCTCGAGCCCTTGACCCAAAAACCTCCGAGAAACCGAGAGCCGCAGAGCCGGCCTCGGGCGGCCTTTGATGGCTTTGTTATTGTTTGGGTTTGAATCGATACGCCCCTCCCCATCCTTCCTCCCTCGCGGCCCGACACCCAGCTCCCGCC